ACCCCATCGACCACCGTACAGGGAAATCTTACTGAGAATGTATGGGCATACTTTATGACGCAGGTACTGATACAAGCACATCAAAATACCCCTTTATGCAAAATTTATTTAAGAGATTTTCAACCTTTATTTACGAGGAATAAAGTTCTAAATGGTTTGAAGAATTTCGACAGTTAAGAGTAGCTTGATGTGCGCTCATTTGCACCTACCTATGTGTATGTTGTTCTAAAAATAGAAAGTAGGAAGAGCTTTTCCTGTTTCCTCTCCTGATTTGAAATCCGAGAATGGTGATGTTCTTTTTGTATTTATCCTTTGGTCATTAAGTGGGTTCGTGAATAAACCCACTTAATAAAGAAAGGATCAAATAAATACTATGTGATTTACCTCTCTTAAGATGTAACCGCCCGTGCAAGTCAGCGGTGGCCTTAAGGGATGCGAACCCTTTGTTACATTTTGAACAGTTTTCTGTGGCCAGTCCAAAAGTTAAATAGTATTTTTTATTGTAGGTGTGTTTGTGATATTTTTGGGTACATTTAAAACAACACAAATGTTAAAGCTGTATAAATTTAAGAAGCTTAACGTCCAATACGTCCACGTACTCTGTCCCACTTTAAATCATCCTGTGCATTGGTGAAAACCGCGTACAACTTTATACAGTTGTATTCGAGGTTATCGCAAATAAACAGACGTGGCGGTGACTACTGAAATACTTTTTGTAATAACACATACATACTATATCTCTCTTCATAGTGTTCATGCATGCTCATCGATGAAGACTGCTTCTACTTTGTATGATTTTCTACTATATTCGGAATTTTAATTCGATTCCTTTTTTTCCTCTTTGGCAACCGAGAAATTCGATTCCTTAATTTAGATTTGACGATTTCAGTTTTGCAACGTTATGACAAGTACTAAATAGTGACGTTGCGAAATTATTCGATATGGAAATGCAATATTTCTGGATCGATTCTTCTCGTTTATAATTTTACTCTCGTAAACTAAGTATATCAGAAAATTAAATATTTCTGAACTGATAATTTAGTTTTGACGATTAATTAACGATCTGAGACTTTTCTTTTATATTTGTGTGTGAAATAAATAAAAAAATGTAGGTAATCATGAAGGAACATGACAAATAAAACAGATAGATGTATTATGGTAATAAGTTATTTTATAAATTGTCGCCGTCATCGCTACCGCTATCCTGTCACTTTCTGTAACATTTAGATATTATAAAATACACACACTGATTGTTTATCGATTATTGTGTTCATCACTACACTATTATATGTGGTATCATTATTTCACAAAATGACAGTAGCTATTGTCAAATCTGGAATCTAATTAAAATTCTGACTATAGTTATAAATTATCACTAATAAAAATTTGGTGTAGCACAAATAACTCTCCACCTATTCATAATAAAATATACTAAACGTGAAGGTTTTAGTACGTTTGTCTACTAAAAAAATACATAATTATGACATGTAGGTATCATGTAAAATTATGCAAATAACGCGACCCAACTAACGCACTAATGGAGAAACGCCCAAGTTACCGAAATCCACGTATGAAATCTACGACCCTAGATGGCTCCAAGTGTGTCTAAAAATAGATCCAGGTCTAACATTAGAGTTATTCCTAGTACAAACATATTAAAACCTTTACACGTGAACGATTAAGTTCACCACGTGTAGTGAAGAGGATAATCGGATTAAAACTTAGAACTTGGACGATTTATTATAACCATCGTTGAGTTTGTATTTGACTAAACTTTCATAGTAGCTTCTCTGTTTTTTGGCACGAATTGGAGTTACAATAATGAATAGATTTCCTTATGGGAAACTACATATAATATCGAATTCAGCATGTTGGTGTTCAATACTTTCCGATTCTTACTTAAGTCAATCCAATAAGTTTAGGTAATTCGTATAATTAGATAAAACTTATAAAGGAAATATTTACTTAATCCTCTTGTTCATCAGCTACAATTTTGATGATGAAAGTAAAAGCTGACTACACAACACAATCATAATAATATGCAAACAAGGTATTCCCCAAAGAGGCAAGCAGGAATGTATTTACATATATTTACTACAAGCAATTTGCAGTAACACATTTTACTGGAGAAAAATCTTACCCACCATAAAAAAGTCTTACGTTCTGGTGTGACGTCATATCTTTTCCACCCTTATCTTTAACTCTCTATAGTGTTGGATTTAATATAGAACGCTTCCTTATAAACATGTTGCAAAGGCTTCCTTCATACATATTAAGTAGGGTATCATAAAAGAAGAACCGCATTGTCACATTGCATGAAGCGATAAGCCTGGCTTTTCATCTGCGCTCGTTTCGTTCCCTATCGCCCTCGACCACCGATCAGCCATGTTGAATGTCGAGCTATCGATAAATCTGTCAACCAAACGGATGTTTTTATCGACACATTGCTGCTCTAGATGCAATGGTTTTAGAGGGATTGGATGTGATTTACTAGGATGAGTGGAGTTTGAAATATTTTGATTTGATTGTAGTGAGAGCTATCCCTCATTGACAACTGAAAAAATGAAGTCTTAAAAATAGCAGTATTTACAAAAGAGCCTCTAAAGAAACACAGCAGTTGATCTTAACTTCCAGTTTCATAATATTTTGTTCCACACTGGAATGGTAAAATGTGTTACGGCGTCCCACGTAGCCGTTATCTATTATTATTGGAATTTAACCTCATTTATTTGACTATATTCCTCTTAAACTTTCAAACACCAAGCGGTCACCGGTGACCGCAACCTATTGTTCTATAATTGTGTCTATAATGACGGTACTCGACGAGTTAATATAATATAAGACTCTAAAACATGCATAAAAATATTAACTAGTTGCACTTTGATAAGTTCGAGAATGTGCCCCACCTAAGCGGGCTCACTGGAGCTTCAAACCTAATTAACATTTTCGCCGTACACGCTAAATAGGGACCTAATAAGATTGCAGCCAGTTAGTTAAGTGTGTACTGCATTTCATTCAAGAGTTTAGAGTATTTTTCTATTTTATATTACCTTACGAGTAGGTACCTACTATTTGTTTGCCTACTAAATCTGTTGAAGGTTAATACTCCATTAAAGTATCTACACCACTTTTATGTGTGGAAAGCCATGCTTCGGCACGAATGGGGCGGCTCGACCGGAATGATACCACGGCCTCACAGAAAACCGACGTGAAGCAACGCTTGCGTTGTGTTTCGTCGTGTGAGTGAGGTTACCGGAGGCCTAGTGACCTCCCCCCTTCCCCAATCTCCCCAATCCCCGAATCCCCAATAATCATCAAACTCCTAATCCCCAAAAGACCGGTAACGCACTTGTGCGTTACAAGTGCGTTCTTGTGTTCCAGGTGGCCATGGGCGACGCCGATTGCTTACCATCAGGTGATCCGTCTGCTCGTTTACATAATAATATGCCATAAAAAAAAGTATTAAACAAACAATATTTTACACCAGTATGTTACTGGTTACTAATCAAATAGTGTTAAAGATGAGATACTTATTATGTGTGTCTTTAACTATTCGCGGGACCACAGGGTCCCGATCATTTGGGAGTCGTACGAGGGGACGAATATACGACAATGTTAATCTAAATATAATGGATACACAAACCGGCGACTATCCCTATGCACTATGGAAATGCATCCAAGGACAGACCCCGGTTAGTGTAAAACTATTGTAGATAATGGAAAAAAGGAAGGCTATGGTGGGTTGCTGCCGACTGGTAAATTGGGAACTATGGATGACTATGGTACCTGCCAATAACCCAGATATTATGTTATTATTACAAACGTATTGCATGCTGATTTATTATGTACCTGGATGAGATCAAGAGATCAAGAGGATGAGATCCCTTAATGGATGTTAAGATAATAACATTAGGGGCAGAATGAGTAACTAAGTAAATAAGTACTGCCTAAATATCAACGAAAAGCAAAGACTGATACGGGTTTCAGTTCCAATCCAACTCGTCATGGGTTTGATTTCCGCATTGGATAATGTCGGTATGTAACGTATAAATATAAATACAAATTAAAATTACCTATATGTTTGTCACACATCCACCTCACAGAATCAAATCTTAGTACCTAATGGACAACGACTTTAAAAAAGAAATAATAAACCTACATACATACCGTGCCAATATTTTTTAAATACCTATTATTTTATTTATTTAGGAATTCAACTTTACAACATAAAACCATGTAAGCAATTAAGTACACAGAGGATATTTACAATAAATCACTTGACAAAAATTGGTTACGAACGCCAAGTCCCGGGTTCCGTGTTTCTAAAGCCTCAGGGGAGTCGCAAAGCTTGTCAAAGACAGACGGGACTCTAGTCGAGCTTGCACCTCGAGGCGATTTAGTACAAAAGCCACTTTGTGGACATTTCAACGACTATCTTCGAATTATTCTACCATTTGGAAAGAGTAGGTATTGTAGGTATTTTCTAATTGGTTGAATCGAACATTACGTAGGTAGCTGTTTTATTTTCATAGAAATTATTGTAAATAATATCGTTATGTTATACTAAATATTCATTGGTTAGTTCTTAGTTGGTACCTATTGTGTTAATTACATAAACTATTATATATAGCAAGCGTTTATTGCATGACACGTAACAAAATTATCTAAAATTGTATAAACAATTTTTCAATGGTATTTGTATAAAATTCATTAATGGTAATGTAAACAAACACTAGATGGCATAACGTTCGCGTCACGAAAAAATTCATACATGTTTGTCTAGATGGCACTGATCTCTATTTACTTATTATTATTTGAATACGTAATTATAATTTTATTACATTCAAACCGTTTTTTGGGGATTTTTATGGAAATAAATCATACAATTTTTAATTGAATAAAATTATTTTTAAAGTTGAATTAATGTGTGACCATAGACAACATGCAATCTATTTTCAAATAACTAGAGTAAACTGGCAACTTTGACAGTTTGGTTTGGTTTATGGTTTCATCACATGACCCTTTTATTTTGTTCCCGTGATCAAATTGTGGAAATTCAAAAATAATTACAATGGCAATGGCCAAAGTGGAAATTGACGTTGATGACATGCATGAAAATTCACTTGATAACAGGTAATATGCTGTTGAATTTGGTGTTATTTGTTTAGTGCATTATATAATATGATTTTAAGGCACCGAAGGTCATCGCTTTATAGTTTTGCAACTTGGCAGTCGACGCAGTATTCTCTCGATTTAGATTTTATTTTCAAGTGTTGTATTTTAATTTATCGCATTTGTTTGCAGTGCAGATATTGAGTATTTGGGCATGGTAGATGAAGGATCTTTTGGTATGTAATATCTATGTGTTTTGTTTTTCTTTTATTTTTATTTTTTTCCTCGTACAAATAGACATCACTAATTTGTTTACCATTGCACAGAAGTAACCCTAATTCGCTGTAACATGTTTCAATTTAATTATGAACATGCATTAGAGTAGTGTCGTGTGTTATTCAATTAGTGATAGATTTGATTATTCGTTATTTCAGGGAGTAACGAAGAGAAGTCCCAACTTGTGTCTCAGCCCTACCTGGAGCCCCACGACACTAATACTACGTATAGCTTCAAAGATATATGTACGTAAAGTTCTTTTTTTAAATTACAGTTACACAGATAATGTCTAATTGTTACTTGTAGTAAGTATTTCTTACTTGTAGCCATTATAACCTAGTACATAATTCACTATTTTTAATTAGATCCAGGTTGGTACTAATTAAACATTTTTTTTATAGTTATCATAACATCAAACATTAATCTCTATATGAATGTATAGCTAGATGTTTAAGTATTTAACACAAATCTGACTGGAGTTTAGTGATAGATTCATTTTCATATTTTGAACTTTTTGAAGGAATGAATTATTATATCTTAACTTGCGGGAAGAGTTAACATTAGAACACTTATTATTTCATTCCCAATAAGATTTAGAATGCAATGAACATGCTAACCTTTTGTAAATATTTTCTCAATGAAGAGAATTCTTAGATCATCTCCACTATCAGTGTTTGTTTACAGTATTTAATATTGTAAATACATGCATAATATTGTTGTTATTATTTTATCATCCTGATTATGTCTTAGTTCTGAATGTCATCATGACACATAATAAATTAATAAGTGGTTCCTGAAGTGTGCTACTTATCGCATTTCCTTTATATTAATCACTATTTAACTAGGTATTTACATTAATTGTGCTTCAGATATCCTTGGGAAAATGAGGACATGCAGTAATTTATTGTCCGTTTTATAACTCTTTAGAACTCTCATAGTGATTTTTGTGATAACATATATAAATATAAATAAAACCTTTAATAATATGAATTTATCATATCATACTATATTGAACTATTTATACCACACATTTTATCAAAAATATGTATGTAGTAACTTGATATTTCAGTTGTGTGATATTAAATTTATAACTCGCAAGTACTCCCGCGCTTTTTTAACCACTCTGCTCGATTCCTATTGATCGTAGTATGATGTTTTGTACCCCATACCCATCGTCGATAAATGGACTATCGAATACAAAAATATTTTTTCTAATCGGACCTGGAGTTCCTGAGAATAGTGTTCAAACAAACAAAGAAATTAACTCTTCAGCTCTATATAATAGTATAAGAGAAGAGCATAAGATTTTAATAATTTACACTCATGTCAGCCACAAAACAAACACTGCTGAACATAGGCTTCAATACCTTTTTAGACTTTTTATAATAAAAATATGATAATTTGCACATGGTTTATAACTGCACAACTCATATATACAAACTATTTGCCTTTCCAGCTGGTGCAGTCAAGTACAAATTAATAACTATGACAGGAGAAGAAGCTGGCATCAACATCACACATTCACCTTCTCCTGGTAAGGGTTCTGATCTTGATGTAACATAATAACTTCTAAATAATTATAAACATAAAATGTCAGGCTGTCATTCATTACTGACTATTGGTTACTATTTTAAAGAAAGAAAGAAGAAGATTAAAGATAAACAGCTCAGTTGCACCATTAAAAAAAAATAGGTTTCAAAAATAGAACAGTGTACACAGTGCAAAAAGGCCAGTGCTCAGCCAAAATTACGTGTCCCGAGCGCGATAGCTTGAGTTGCGGCGCTGATTTTCAGCACTCGTCCCTTGCTAGAATATTATACAAAGAAATAATTATAAAGATAAAATGACAGTCTGTTATTACTGGACTATTGGTTACTATTTGCTTTTCATTAATACCGTTTATCTACCATACCATAAAGTCTGCTTAGTAGGCGTGTTTAAAAATTTCAGTTTAATAGGTTCAGGTATACCTAAGAGCACTAGTACTTGGTCTTTCAAATTCAATACCTATCATTTTACAGATTGGTTCCATGTAAAATGTAATGTTAATTTTCTTTTACAGATGCAGAATATTTTGTAATTAGCAATCCTGTAGAAGTTTTTGGTACAACAACTACGCCAAAGAAAAATGCGCGCAGAGATCCACTCCAGACAAAAGCAGTTACAGCAAAAAAGGTTTGTGTTTACTTGTATTTCTCTAACAAGTATTGCAGTAGAAGAACATAGATTATCCTAAACTTGCGCCCACTATAAACGAATGTACTTTTTCAAAACATGGAAGGAGCATACCCAATCAACTTTTAATTTAAATTAAAACACCTATTTTTAGTTCAACCATAATCACTATCTGTTTCAGCGTGACGACAAAAGACGAGCTACCCACAACGAGGTAGAACGACGTCGTCGAGATAAAATCAATAGTTGGATCTCTAAACTGGCTAACTTAGTTCCCAATTCTGGTCTACCGGACTCTGCAAGTAAAGGAGGAATATTAGCTAAAGCATGTGATCATATCACAGACTTAACGGAGAAACAAAAGAGGTTAGTAGCTTAGTTTTAATCCCACTGTGACTATGGCTATGACTAGAAAGAAAGAAAGAAAAACCATTTATTACACCACGACACACAACAATAATACAGGTGCACACAAAAAGCCCATGGTGCATCGCAGCGCAAAAGGTTGAAGCTCAGCCTTATACTGTGGCCCAGGCTCGAGTCCACGGCGCTGATTTTCAACACCAGCCCGTGACTCAGTGGTTTTACCTATGTCAGTGAGAAGTTAGTTAGATATAGTCTACGTTAGACAAATATCTCTAATATATTTTACCTTCAAAAACGTACATCTGAGATGAAAATATTAATTTGTTCACATTGAATTATTTCCTGATATTCAAATTCTCTCTTCTATACAATACTAAGCTGCCATAACAGAAATGGGTTACAAAATAAAACGATAATGTACGGACAAATATCTAATACTGTTTTTGTTATCTTTGTATTTAATCTCTAATCAATGCTAAATCATAATGTGTGTCAGCAGTGTAGATTCTACAATATTTTGTTTTTGTGTTTCGTTGATAGTTGCCTTGGAGATAAGTAATAAGTTATTAGGAAGGAACAGAACTAGTTTACATGATAGCCTTCTTTACCTCTTTGGTTGAATATTTTACCTTTTGATCTCAAGTCTCAAAGTCGCCAATAATAGTCTCACCTGCAAAAATCGACTTCTATTTGGAAACTTTTTAATTTTGTAATGTTTTATAAGTCTTATCCAATATTATAATGTTTCAGATTAGAAAAACTGGAAGTTGAGAATGAAAAACTTGTACTAGAAATATTGAGACTTAACCAAGAGCTGACTGAGGTGCGTAAAGAGAACAGCTCAATGCGCAACCAACTTGCGGACAACTGCATAGTGCTATCACACAGGCCTAAGGGTCAGAAATCTTAGTTCAAAGTGAAGTGTAGGACTTGATGACTGACTAAACCAAGGTGCTGAATGCTGTGTGAAGTGACAACTGAATGATTAAGCTAAGTACGCATTGGAATCAATACTGTCACTTTAACAGGCTGTATGTGTTATCTGTGGTGATATTCAACCTCTTTTAATCTAATGTCATTGTTGTATCAGGGCTTCCCAACCAGGGTTAGACACCACTATTAGTAATACTTTTTTCAGAATATGGTCTGGACTAGTGATGTGCCGTAACCACAATATTGCCCGAAGTTGAAATTGTTGTGGTTGTTTAATTATGAGTCAAATTAACTACGAATACTATGCGCTATACTTGAAATTTGCATTTCAAGCCCATCATCTACATTATATACATTAAAGTGTTATTTTGGGTAAAACATTGCCAGCAGTTTAGGCAATAATCCCGGCAATAGGAAATAAATTTACCGGCAGTGGTAATATTCGTCAGGCAGTCGTCAGGCATATCACTAGTCTGGACTGGACCAAGATTTTGTCCAGTCTTACGATTATATTGATCCTCTCAGTTGTCTCCTTTGACATATAAGTTTCATTTCAGTTTTAACCGTCGTATTTATTTGAAACTCAAGACAACATCTCTGTCTTGTTTTTTTTATTTCGCGGACAATACTCTTCTGCAGACCACTACAATAGTGGTCCATGGACCACAGGTTGGGAACCACTGGTGTAGATAAATTATTGCCAGTAATGAAAAAGTTCAATGTGAATTGTGCAATTATTTATTTTTAATTAATTACTAATTCAATTAATTTGTGTCATTGCTATGGCAGCTAGCTGAGACAGTATTGTACCAATGTGTTGTTTATTTTGTCCTATTTAATTAATGCATGTGCATTATGAACACCAATTATGTTTTGTTGTTATTATTTTCGTTTTATGAATATAAGTAGTTGATGTTTTAAAATTGATTTTGTGATTTATTGTGTACATATACAAATTATATCATCTCCATCTGTTAATTGCAAATAAGCAATATACAATTGATCTTGATATTGTACTATTTTGCAATTATTTTGTCTCCACTTTAAGTTCATTTTGCATAATTATATTTGTTCAAAGATTGTAGTCAAAACTTGTTAGTTAAATTAATAGATTGTGTCTGTGATCTATGGCACTAAAGTTACGACGCCTAATATTTAGTTGTAAGAATTAAAATCCAAAAGAGTATGATGTATACATAAATTATGTAATATAATGTTGTTTATGTATTGAAATGGGATTCCAAACTGTAAAATAATGTTTGAACTACAATGTTAAGCCATTTGTCATAAAAAGAACTATAGCCGTGATTTATCGGCAATGGAACCGATATTGCTTAATGAAACTGTAATATCCCCCAAGTTTGGCCATTTCATTGGCGTGGTAGGAAAAATAATAATGTGTGCTCCGCCATGACAGGCAAAGGGAACACCACAATGCTGCCTTAGATGAATCATTATTTATTTTACAGTTAGGAAACTTTAGTAAAATCCTTTTTATATACTGTAGTTCAAGATGTTTCGCGTGTGATCTCGCGTGCTTTAATCTATTACTGGTTAAATCTGAACAAAAGTATATTTAATACTTGAACCCATTTGCACTGAATGACAGCTAACTTATTATCAAAACAATAATTATTTATTTAGTTCTTTCGTGCTAGTGGGTCCAAACCTGTATGAATGTTCTAAAGTAACTATGTATGTTGTTCTAGTTATACATTTTTATATGATACTAGTTATAGCTACTTACAAAATGTGTAAGTATAGGACTAAAGTAGGGTATCCTAGCTTTAAGAGTTGAGTTGTTCTTAATTTAACAATTGGCTTAAAGTTGCATTTAATTTTAAATCCTCATACAAATGATCACATACTGTATACCGGTCATGTTTTAGAATGAATCAGGTATTTTGTATTCTTTTTTTTTTATTGTAGCACAGTCCTACTTGAATATAATCAAGTGTTGTTGAAGATTTTGTGTTTTATTGCTAATGTCTTTTCTTCACATACCAAGATTTTTATGTCGTAAGATATGTCTAGTACAGATAATAGATGTGTTACTCAAAATCTGCTGATTTGTAGATAATCTTATATCTGTTAGCCAGTACATGTTATTTGTTAAAAATCTGAAGAACAAAATGAAACAATATAAGAACATTTTAAAATTAAAATATATTTTCTTGATATCTCTTTAATTACTCAATTCAGTTTCCAAAAATGGTAACTCCTTTTTTATAGTTTCGTTAGCTCCCACAGCATATAATACAGTAATTTTATTATCTAATTTTACCACTTCTTTGGCTGCCTCTTTTACCAATTTCTTCTCTACTATTCTTTTAATTTTTCCGTTTGGTTTCAGTGTGCATTGTTTTTCCTTTATAATATGTAGGTATACATCATACTTCCTTTTGAATTTCTGACCACAGGTGTCGCATTCGTATTTCATAATACCTGCAAAAATATGAGATCACTACATAGTAAAAAACAAAGTCGCTATCCGCCGTCTATCTCTCCCTATGTATGCTTAGATCTTTAGAACTACGCAACGGATTTTGATGCGGTTTTTTAAATAGAAAGAGTGATTCTTAAGGTTTATATGTATAGTATATGCATATTGCACCCGTGCGAAGCCGGGGCGGGTCGCTAGTTTATTACAAACAAATGTTTGATTAACTTCTCAAAAATGTTACTTAGGTTAGACAACAATTGTTTTTGTTAGGTACTATTAATTTCACCAGTAACCCAATTTAGACCAAAAATAAAATATTTTGTACCTAATTAAAATAAAAAAGACAATTTGGTAATTATTCTTTTTCAAAAATGTTTAGTGTTATGAAAAAAGGTCAAGGGCAATTTTTGACATCTATCTATCGATGATCTACAATTGTTTTCTGACATAATTTAGAAAACCATTCATTTCTCTGAAAAATTAAAAAAAAAAAACAATTATTGCAACCTTTGACCTTGAATATTTTTGATGAGGACTTTCACAATTTCATAACAATGGTACCCCGTAACATCTACGCAAATTTTCATTTTTCTGGGAATTTGCAAGGTTTCCCCTATTTTTGGTCTAAACTCACCGGGTTATAGGTGAAATTTAAAACAAGTCTTCAAGAAAGCCTTTTAGGCATCACAATAGAGTAAAATGTTTAGGTCATGTATGTGTCTTTAAAATCATTCTGAGCTTCAAATCTCTTTATTTATATGTTACCAGCCAAAATCACGAATATTCGTACTGGTGTATGGAAACCAAATGTATTCGTTCTAAAAATTAACATACCTAAATGAATTTTCATGTGCCTGCTCAACACATCTTGCCGGGTAAATGAATAATCACAGTAAGTACACTTAAATGGTGTTTCACCTGTGTGTTGTCTGAAAAAAAATAAAATTATTAATTTTTTTATGGTATAAGCCGCTAAACGAGTAAACAGATCACCTGATGGTAAGCAATCAGCGTCGCCCATGGACACCTGAAACACCAGAGGCGTTACAAGTGCGTTACCGGCCTTTTGGGAATTGTAAATTTGAGGATTGTGTGGGATTCGGGGATTGGGGAGACTGGGCAGGGGAGTAATTGGTCCTCCGGTAACTTCACTCACACGACGAAACACAACTCAAGCGTTGTTTTACGTCGGCTTTCCGTGAGGCCGTGGTATCGCTCCGATCGAGCCGGCACATTCGTGGCGAAGCAAGGCTCTCCCACACTTAAATTACCGAATAAACTAGATGTCCCACTAACATGTTTTATTTTCTAATCGATTCATAGTCAATGTTCACACGGCTACCAGCTATGCAATACCAGTATAAACTGATCGTTGATTGTACGGGAAGACCGCAACAAAGGCAGATATGCTAAACTGGTTTTGTAGATGACCAGAATAAAAACATCACATAACATCACGCCTTTTATCCCTGAAGGGATGCACATTCACGTCACTTAATGCTACTGTACAATGTAACATTCACTTTTCACTATGTATGTTATGAGTCCCTTGGAATAGGGGGTGAACCTATTGCCATATACAGGAAAATTTCCAGATTCCGTGCTACTACAGATTTTTTTTTTAAAAACCTAGTGACACTGCCCTACCCGTGAATCGAACCTGCGACCTACCGGCGATCACTCTGCCAAGGAGGCAGTCCAGGATAAAAATACAAACATTGCTATTGCATAAAGGCCGGACCCTAGGCCAACTAGGGACTACAGTATTTTTGCTCACCACCTAGTGTGAACCTCTAGTCCTTATAACCGACTTCCCAAAAAACATGAGGTTATCAATTCGGCTGTATGTTTTTTTATCATATATGGAATTAGCTAATGTCACACCGTTGGCCATTTAATTTTTGACAGCTACAGTGATGGGACAAAAAATCCCCTCCCTACATTTGCGCTATTTCTGGAGCAAAAATTCCTTAGCCTCTATTGTATTGATGCAGTAGAAGGAGCAGTTCTTACCTCATGTGAACCTTCAAATCTGAATGTCTGTAGAAACCTTTGCCGCACTCTTTGCATTTTGTGGAATAATTCTTTTCATGCCTTCTTATATGCAGAATAAAGTTGTTGCGTTTATGCATCATTACATTGCAAACTGAACAAATATATTGCTAGAACAAAGAAGTTAAATAATAAATTAAAAGGTAAATATGACAGATACCTATTAAATTGCTGTTTTTAAGCGTGAAATTGTCTTTAGCAAACGGCAAAAACGACTTGATTGATGTAGACTGGCTAATGAATAATCATATAGTTGAAAGTATTAATACGACAGACGACTGATGTCTGTATTCATATGGTATTTATGAAAAAAAAAATCCATGGAAGCTTGCAATCTGTGTTACTGCCCTGCGATAACCGTGCGTGGTTTTCCGTGAGGCCGTAGAACTTATAGGCTGGTTAAGTGGCCCATTTGTGCCGTAGCGTTCAAATTAATAGACTTACTTTTTGAGATTTCCTACTTGTATATATCGAATGGACACTCATATGCTTCTTTAGTCTACTTCGTGAAGAAAACGATTCTCCGCAAATTGCACAATTAAATTCTATCTTAGGTTTCTGAAAATAAAATATGAATTATAATAAGTCACATTTCTTGCTCCATATATGTATTTTTATAGCAAAAAGCATGAAACTTTCAATTTCTGGTAACAAAAAGAATTTCCGATACCGGGAATCGAACCCGAGCCTCCTGGGTGAGAGCCAGGTATCCTAGCCACTAGACCATATCGGACATGACTATTATGCTGAAATAGCGTTGCATATTCTCTCACTGAATATTATATTGTTACTATGAATATTTATTTATTATTTTTTTTTAATCGTAAGAATTATTATATAATTGGAGGAATCATTAGGTACTTCTGTTTATCCATAAAAATATTTTATCCGGTAAATACTTATTTATTGTTAATAATCATAATTTATTTATGTATCATATCATAATTTATTCATTTTACATAATTTTTTGAGTTTAATTAATAATATTTACAATGGCCTCGTTGAGCGAGTCAAGTAGGACTACGAAGCAACAGGTTTAGGCTCGACTAATGGAAAGGGCAATTATTGTAATTTCCTGTTTTTAAAAATTTTTACTCTAGATATAATTAAAAAATACAGGGTATCCCTGAAGTCGCCGATCAAATGGCATCAGGTGATCGGTAAGGTTCCTACAGTTATCAGAAAAATATAGTATGTATCACAATAGTTATTATGAAAATATCTTATGTGAAAAGTTTGTTTAAACGCGCTAATCTCAGGAACTGCTGTTCCGATTTGAAAAATTATTTTTGTGTTGGATAGAGGTATAAAACATCACGCTCAGATCAATAGGAGCCGAGCAAAGTGGGTGAAACCGCGCAAAAGATTCTACCAGTCCTACTTACCGAACAAACTTTCAAATGCCTTTTAAAATTTGACTTGTCCTGCATCTCTAATCCACATTCACTACATAATACAGGATTTTTATTATTTGATGCTTTCCTTTTCACTTGCCCATGTATTTTGGCCATATGAATACTTAGAGCTTTAGCATTTTTAAATTGCTTGTTGCACGATTCACAGTGCGATTTCTCCTTTTCTGCACCATCTTCAAGAGCTCGTGGATTTTTTTCTTTATCATTTATCGTTTTCTTATTCTCAATTGGTTTATTTTCTTTACTTATTGCCATTTCAAAGTCCATGTCAGTAGTATCTTCATTCTCGAATTGAATACGAATTAACTTTAAGTCTATATTTATTGATTTCTTATCTTCTACACTTTCTTCAACAGTTGGTTGAATTATTTCTTCATTATTCTCAATTTGTTTATTTTCTTTATGTGTTGTAGTTTCAACAATGTCCATATCATTTGAATCTTCATTTTCGACTTTAATATTAATCAACTGTGAGTCTCTTTTCCATTGTTCTTTATCATCCACATTAGCTCTTTTAATATCATCAATGTCAAATTCTTTAGTGTCGTTTTGGAAGAATTCTTCAAATATTTCAATATCACCTTGAACATTGTCATATGGTTCTATACATTGTCCTACTGTCTTATTGGTGTTCACATCAGCTTCAGGTAGTTCGAGTTTCACATTAAAAAGTATATTATTAATTGTTGGTGTTGATGCTGCTGATGTTTTTTGGAATACTGAAAGTCAAAATTTTTCCAATAAGTAAACATAAGACAAAGTATTTGATGAGGTAACTTGACTAGGTTCAAGCCACGTTAGGGACTCATATTCATGAGGAACATGGCACGATAAACAACGCAACGAGTGTCGCGTTGCTAAGTAGTTTGACCCGAGTCCAGTAACCTCGTAAAACTTAAATAAATAATTAAATGTTTCATGTAAGTTATGAACAAACACAAAATTGTTTTTTAATCTTAAAAAAGTAGAAATTGCAATATTACCTGGTGGAGAAACAAGTAGCTCATCCAGAGAAAATTCTTTATTGTCAGGATTCTTTAGCGCTTCTTCTAAGTTCTTATCTATCGTACACGGTTTGTCCTTCAATAAGGCTTCAATGTTAATACTGCTATTACTCATTTCGTTATTTGATTTCAATGAGCCTATATTTTCTGTATAAAAATTCATGCTACTCGTTCTATCTTTATCTGAGTAATCTAATGATGGTAGATCTAAATTGCTCACTGATTTATCAAGACCATCAATTTCATCTATACTAAAATCACTTATCAGTTTTTCATCATTCTTTGCATCATTTTCTAATTTGACTTGACCAAATTCATTTAAAGTCATGTCACATAATTCTTTTAAACTATCGTTTTTATTGCTGTCCGGCTTTTCTATACTATCTAAGCTAAAATCGCATAGTTCTTTCAGATGTTTGTTTGCAAACGTTCTTTTTAGTTCAATCTCTTTAGTGGACATTTCTTTAGTTCCAAAACTGGTGATCTCTTTAATGGCTTTACTGCTTTTAAATTGTTCATTTGCTGATTTTACAGGATCAACATTAACTATGGGTTCCTTAGTCGCAAAAGGATAAAACTCTTTTATGCTTTTAAAACTTTCTGATTTCTCCATAATTTTGTTTTCAAAACTGTCAGGGTCATTAATATTTTGGTCATTTTGGAAAGCTTTTGTAAAGTCGTTGAGTATTTTAGTTTGCTTCTCCGTATTTACAGTTTCAAAGCTGATTTGTTCTTCTTTTTGCTCAACATACTTTTTAGGTGTGTAGCAATGATCGTTATTTACAGACCGAGGTGTTGAAAATGGGCTGAAACTGTAAAGATAACAGCATTAATAGATGACTTAATAATATTACAGTATTTTTAAAATAAATTATTGTTTTCGGCAGCAGCATTCCGCGACCCGCGACGCCGCGACTACCCATGAATATGAGCCTCTAGCATGGCTTGAAACTAATCGAGTTCCTCGTCAAACAGTTACGTAAATAAGCCGAAATACTAATAATTAATTTAGTCTCCCGAAAGTTGAAATATTTTTAAAATGTGTAAAAATCAGGTGGTTGATTAACGTCATATGAAATGTAATAATTATGACACGTATGAAAAAAAACCTAGATTACCTAATGGTCTACAATTAAGAAAATTGAGGAAATTCCTAAAAGAAAACTAGGTACAAATGTAATGCCAGTTATGAATAGTTCTTGGCACTTACCTAAAATCCAATCTGAAGTCTGTATCAATAGACACATCATCCTGGAGCCAGTGGGAATCCAGTGAGTCTTCCAGCACATCAGCCTCTTCTTCAATGACCTCTCTGATAATCCGAGCCTCCGTGTCGGGCATCTCTTCTCCTTGTAGGATGTCCGTCATGAAGTTTCGTATACTTGTGCATGTTGATTCTGAAATGAGATATTTAATTTATTGTTATTATTACTAACTTCAAAAATAGGAGGAGATGCTATGTTCGGCTGATTATTTTCTTTTTTTGTTAATGTATGCATTTTCGATACTAATGCTAAAGTGAGTTAAAAGAAAAAGGAATAATGTTCAAGAGTGAATCTATCTGATTACTGAATTGAGGAAGCGAAAGAAAGAGGTATGTAAGAATCGTAGCAATTGGCATTTCATAGACATAGACATATGTCGTCCCCGTAGAGCGAAAAGTCATCAAGTCGAAAAATCACGTTTCGAGAAAATGAAGTTTAAAGTTTTAAAAAATTAGATTCGTTATAACTTTAGCTAGCTATTGCCGATCGTCATGTTTTTAGTTTCTATTTGAAGGAAAAAGAGTAAAGTTAATATTATAAAAGCTATAACGCAAGAAAATGTTTTTGTTTTTAAGAAAAATTAAAAATATCAAACTAGTTATTTATTCTTTAAACGATCTCTAGATAATTTTGATTTAGTTAATTGTCGACCAGAGATAGTGATTTTTCACTTAGTTTCAACTCATTATCAATAGAAATAACCGTAGTTAAGTAAACTGGAACTAATTGTTCAAGCACCAAATGTGTATTGTAAATACTACCTATCTAAATTTTAGAAGCTTGTGTGATAAGTTTTGTTTTAAATATGA